TCAAAAGAGGGGCTACACGTGGTATTAGCGCACCGGTCATCATACCTGTATCTACCCTTCCCACCCGTTAAGGTATTAAAGCGCGGATTGGTCTCGATCGCTATTGCATGCTATTAACCGTCCCATTCCTATCAGTCCCGGAGGCACTTAGGAATACTAATCCTAAAAGGGAGGGATATTAGGCTGACTTGGGGTTTCAAAGGTAAAAAAAATCTAAGGCGACATACAAAACATATAAAAGACCGCACATTCAAGGGGAAGCACATAAACACTCAAGGCTCAAGTATACCTCCTCAAACAAAATAATCCAAGAGCATGACTTAAACAAACAAGTAAGGTCTGATTCTAAAAATACTTGAGGGAATAGATCATTGTTGTTACAGCAGGCTTGGTCTATTACATGACTAAGTTAGGAAATATAAATCAGGCCTGCCTGCTGGTTGTAACACTTAAACAAATAACGGAGGCGAGTTCAATTTTATTTATTAATACTGCCTAAGTCTTGCCTAAGTGTTTAGGGGAACTCTCAGGGACGTGCATTTATTACTGATTTTGAGCGTGGTCACAGCTTAAAACGAATGGTTTGAAAACCTATAGGCATGCTTGCTAAATTGTGTTAACAAGGCGAGATTAAGTTACTTAAGCACTGGTTCAGAATAGACTGATTTCAAATTAGACTAGTTTCAATTTCCTCAGGCGATGGTATCTACTGTTGCTGATTTTAAACCTTATGGACATGATATCTACCATTGAGTGTGAATATAAATGAACCAGATTTTTTGTTTACTTGCTTTGGGGATCCCTATAGGCATGATTTCTACGAAGGGGTACTGATTTTAATGATATCTGATTTTAACCATTTAGATCCTAATAGCATGATATCTAAAATGCAGAAGTAAACATAACAACAGATCCTATAGACATGATTTCTGTTGTGCAGAATTAAACATACAGAATCTAAAGTCCTATAGACATGATTTCTAAATTTCAAAATTACACATGCAAAATAGCAAGTCCTATAGACATGATATCTAAATGCAATGGATATTCAGAAGTAAAAGTAGTCCTATAGGCATATTTTCTACCCTTGACATGCATAATAATCCACCCTTTTTTTCACTAGCCATCCCCGCTGTATATTACAAATTATTACGAACCGAAAATACTGAAATTACATAAAAAAAATACATAAAAGATATAACCAGAGGAAGCCTGATTCTTGGTTCCTCCTTGAGCTATGGAGTAAACTGCTTTAAGTGCCATAGCTTCAAAGCCTTTTTCAGACTTGAGTGTGTAAAAGTTCCCTAAGGGTCTCAAAAGGACCCTGGGCAGTGCTCACACCCAAGTTGCATTAATCAGATAGAGATGAGTGCAGTGTGGAAATGCCATCCCTTGTGTGTCCAAGTTCAGAGGGAGCTCGTGGGTCCCAAGGCAAGGCTCACATAAGGGGGGCATACCGTAAGTTTTAAGAAGATAGTAGAAGTGCTAGAATAGAGTTTAAAACTGAGGGGGGGGGGGGGAGGAAAGGGGTAAAGGGTGAAAACAAAATACAGAGTTGATAACTTCATACAAAGAAGGGTCAGGGGTTAAGGATTCAAAGAGCCTATGTACTTAGGCGAAGGTCAGCTTTAGGCATGTACATTAATAGAAGATGCTGGCATGCCTATAAGCCAACCGAACCATACAACAATTAGAGAAAACATGGGGGGTTATGATCCCAGAGGGATCAAGTTTGGGTCATGGATAGCAATGTTCAATGCTGTCATGCCCCAAACCAACCACAGATACCAAACACATTGGGGTGGGAATTTAAGGTTCACAAACCATGATAAGTAAATAACAAAACTATTAATTCAGAACAGAAAAGGCAGAATACAGCATGCTCAATGATGGAACTCATTCAGATACAAATAAAAGGCAAACAGAAATGAAAGAAACAATAAAGAAACATGTTGTTGTTGATGCTGAAAATTAATCAGAACATACTAGTCAAAGAAGCAAAGTGCAGTAAAGAAAGTAAACAGGACTCCAAAGTTTAGCCTTGGCTTTCAGCCAGCTAAACAGACAGTAGCACAAGTAGCAGTAAGCAAGAGAGAGAGAGTTTTGAGTGTAAGTGTGTTCGAAATAAAAGAAGGTGGGGTATTTATAGTTTTGAAAACAGGTGAGGAATAAGGTAATAAGTAAAGCTTTGGCACAAACATCGAAATAATCACAATTAGAATCAATCAACACAAGTGATTTCCTTTAATTAAGGAATCACTGCTTAACAGATACTAACAGGCTCATAATAAGGAAAGAAATCAATTTGTGGGTAAACTGCAGTTGCCACAAAAGAAGCAGTAAAACAATTGAGTAAGTAATCAAGTCTAAGTACAGGAATATACTAATTTTGGGAAGGGATTCAGTAAGGCAAGAGAAGGAAAAGAATCAATGAGACGAGTGAAATCAGAATTTCACAAAAGGAAAGTTCGAAATCAGTCCAAGATGGAAGATTAGTCAAGAAGGAAATTCAGCATAAAAATAGAGTGCACAAACATTAGACACGCGAGGCCAAACTATGGAAAAGAGAAGCAGCATGCGATAACAACACAAAGTTAGCAAACCTTCGAAACATGATAGTCACACAAGTCCACTTCATTGACTTAGTAATAGAGAAAAGAGAGAGTATTAGAAGCATGCAAAGGGTCAAGTGAAAAGCCCTTCTGAAAAAGTATAGTCGAGTAGCAAGAAACCAGAATCACATAAAGAAATAGATGTTGAAACAAAAGAATTTCACATCCAGTCGAGCAACTTCAAGCAGATGACTATTTTCAGAAACTCAAATAGACCCCAAAGAAATTGGGGTTTTGAAACCAATCGAGCCTAGAGATAATAAACAAGTAAATCAAACAAATAAATACAAATGGACTAAGAAAACTCAGAAGACATTAGGGTTTTTATCATGCAAACTCAGAGAGGAACAATACGAGTAAACATAGCAGAACAGGTCGAAAATCAGAGAAAGTTTCAAAATAACTTAACAAGAAAACACTAAAAGATAAAAGGTTTTGGAAGCAGAGTCTTAAAAGAAACTTTGAGAAAACATTTAGAAATTCAAAGCAAACATAGACCTGAAGCAGATCTAAAAGAAATATAGAGAACCTTAGAGCTTAGGGTTTCAGAGGGACCCCAAACGATGAGAAAGGCCATGAAATCTATTGGTCTAAGCAAAAGAGTCAAAGGTCTGACTCGAATGGCCATAGCTGGCCGGAGAAACGCCACAGATGACCGGAGAACAGCCATGAACTAAAATCCAACAAAGGTTGGACCAGAGTCCTTCATGGTCTGGCCTTGAAATCATGAGAACAAACACAAAGGAGCCATGGAAGGCCGGCTATAAGTCTCCGATGACCTTGGAAGGCCATAGGTTAGGGCGGATTAGGGTTTGGTGGAGTCTTAGAGAGAATTGAGAGAGAAGGGGATTCAAGGGCGGCTGTATGTAAGAAATGATTAGCCTTAGGGGTTAGTTCGGGTTAAAAAAGGAAGGGAGTAATGGGAGCCGTTGATCTAAACGATCAACGACTGGGATTAGGTGGGAGTCCGGGTGGGTCATTTAAATGGGTTGTGGGTCAGTTTAAATGGGAATTTGGTCGGGGTTTTGATAGGATTTGGGCCAGGGTAATTGGGTTTAGATTAGGGTCCAATTTAGGTTATAATCGAAATAAAGTGGGGATGACATTTAAATAGCCAATTTTTCCTATTTGATTTATAAAAATAATAAAATAATTTCTGTAAATAAATTAAAGGCACTAAAATGATTTATAATACATAATTAATTATTAAAAATACCAAACCTAATTTTGTGAACATAAAATGCAATGAAATCTTAAAAGAGGCTAATATTGCAATTATATGCAATTTAGCTTAAAAAATACTAAATAAATTTGTAAAACTGTACAAAAATTTCCTTGACTACATTTTAGCATAAATATGAGAATAAAATAGATGAATTACCAAAATGATAATCTTTGAAGTAATTATTGTGATTTTATAGATAACAAAAGGGGAAAATAAAATCAAATTTAAATACTTTTGAAAATTAATGAAAAAAAATCAATAAAACAACTTAGAATATACTTATATAATGCGTATATACGCTTATTTTGAAAGTAATTTGTTTATTGAGAAAATATATAGGGAAAAATTGGGTGTTAACACCCCTCTCAAGAACAAAGCTGCTGCAACCTCAAGGACCGGATCCAAGATTGAAGATATCTTACGTCCTTAGGATTGTTGAATCTTTGTTATTTGTTCTTCATTTGTAACTCCTACTTAGCTTAGTTAGAAACATTGTGTAGGAAACCTTTTGTAAATCATAATCCTTTGTGTTGTGTCTTGGCTAGAGTTAGTCGAGTTGTGAAGCCTTTGTAATAGAGTTATTACAAAGTGGCTTGTAATAGTGTTATTACAATTAGAGTGATTAAAGCCTTTCTAACTAGAGAGTGGCTTGTGGTGAGAGTATCAACAAGTTAGTTAAAGTCTTTGTAACTAGCGAGTGACAAAGTGGCTTGTGGTAAGAGTACCACAAGTTAGTTGAGTTGAATTCTTTGTAATGGAGTCATTACAAAGTGGCTTGTAATAGGTGTTTCAAGTTAGTGAAGTTGAAACCCTACAACTGTAGGTCGTGGTTTTTGTCCCCTTGAGTTGGGATTTTTCCACGTAAAAATCCTCTGTGTTCTTTATTTACTGCCGAGCTACTATGGGAACAATTAGAGAACCGATTCCCTATACTGGTTGGTTTACAGTCTGTTGTTTACAGTGGGAGCTGATAGAGAATCTGGTTCTCTATGCAGTCTGGTGGATGCTTAGTTTCTATCAATTGGTATCAGAGTCGGTTCTTTCTAAAAGGTTAACACCTACAAAGGATCTACATGGCTGCTCCACCAAATTACGAGGAAGGACAATCAACGTACAGACCACCAAGATTCAACGGCCAATACTATGGTTGGTGGAAAACAAGAATGCATGACTTCATTATAGCTGAGGACTCAGAGCTGTGGGATGTAATCTGTGATGGACGTTTTGTTCCCATGAAAACTATTGGTGAGGGAACAGTTATAGTCCCAAAAACAAGAAAAGAGTACAACGATGCTGATAGAAGGCTATTGAGAGATTTAGGCAAGAGATTCTTGTTTGTGGCATCGGACCAGATGAGTACAACTGCATCTCAGCTTGTCAGTCTGCTAATGAGATTTGGGAAGCTCTTCAAACTGCCCATTAGGGAACTACTCAGGTTAAGCAGTCCAAAATTGATATGTTTACTACTGAGTATGAGCTTTTTAAGATGAAGGAGGATGAGTCTATTCAAGTTATGCACACACGTTTCACCTCCATTATCAAGAAACAAGCTGGTTCGGAAAATACTCAGTGTCTTACCAGGCTTTTGGGAAAGTAAAGTGAATGATATCACTAAAGCCAAGGATTTGCAGAAGCTGACCATTGATGAACTCATTGGAAATCTCAAAACTTATGAGATGAAGAGAAAGAAGGATCTTGAAAGAAGAGAGCCCAAGAAGGAGAAGAACTTGGTTCTCAAGGCTGCCAACAAAGACTCAAGTAGTGATGAATCCGACATAGAGTATCTCACTCGAAGATTCCAAAAGATGATTCGAAAAAATGGTGTGTTTCCAAAGAAAAGAAGTTCCAGCAGGAATTTTAAAGGAAATGATTGATGTCATATATGTGGAAAGCCTAGACACTTTGTCAAAGACTGCCCTCTTCAGGATCATCACAAAACCAACACTGATAAGGCAGCTAAGAGGAACCCGGTCCCTGACAGGAAATTCAAAAGAAGAGATGCTACTGACAACATGGTGAAGCAAGCTTTGGCTGACTGGGGAGATTCCTCCAATGAATCTGAAGGTGAGGATGACCAAGGAGATGTATCTATGATGGTTGTTGACAATGAATATGAGTCAATCTTTGCACTCATGGCTAAATCTGATGATGACGAGGACAAGGAGGAAGATGCGGTAAGTTTTCTTAGTGTTCAATGAAATTTAAAAACTTACTCTAAGAAAAAATTGATGTCCTTAGAAAATGTGTTGATTGATGCCTATCATAGCCTCATTAATGAGAAAAATGCTTTAATAGAAGAAATTGGTGACATAGAACAAGAGAGGGATGATATGGTAGTTTCCATTGTAGATTTAAGGGAACAAGTGGAAGAAGTAACTAGAGAACAAAACTTGTTGAAAAAACAAACAAAAAAATGGATGGACAACACTAAGGGTAAAGAAGTGGCTAGTGAGGCTCAACTTGAGCTTGAGAGTGAGCTTAAGAAAGTTAAAACAAGTCTTGTTGGTGAGCTTGAAAAGAATAGACAACTTCAGGAGGATTTAAAAGGGGTTAAAAATGATCTTGATAAGTCACTTAAATGGACCTGGTCCTCTGATGTAATAACGTCTATGTACAGGAGTAATGGTGGAAACAGGCAAGGCATCGGGTTCCAAAAGACTAAAACCTCCTATAATCCCCATAGCAATTATGTAATTATGGCTGATAATAGGTTGTGCAATCACTGTGGTCAAACTGGTCATTACAAGGACTCTTGTAAAGATAAAATTCAGTCTTTGCAGAAAAATAAAGTTTTTGTTGAAAAGAAGCGTACTGATGAGGAATCTGGTTCCCTGAAAAGAAAATATGTGCTGCCTGCATGGGCAAAAAGAAGTTAGTGTGCAGGCTGTTCCTAAGTCTATCATTATAAAGGACCCAAGCTGGCTTGGGTTCCTAAGTCTAATCATTGATTTAGTATGCAGGCTGAAGTGAGAGGTAGCAGTCAAAAACAAAGATGGTACATGGATAGTGGCTGCTCTAAGCATAAAATCAGAAGAATGAATGATGTCCTCTCACTCTAGCCCTTCCAAGGTGGGAGTGTGTCCTTTGGAAATGACAAGAAAGATATATTCTCGGTGTTGACAAAATTGACAAAACGCTCTCCCATGCAATTGAAAATATGTACTATGTGAATGACTTGAAATGTAGCGTGTTGAGTGTGCCTCAAATCTGTGATAAGGAAAATTGAAGTGAAGTTCTTGTCCAAATACTGCATTGTCACCAATCTCAAAACTGGTGAAGTGGTGTTGTTAGCCAAAAGGTTAAAAAACATCTATGTTGCAGACCTTGATTCACTTAATGGTGGTGATCTAACATGCGTAAGTGTCATTGATGATGGTGCTGAGTTATTGCGTAGATGACTGGAGCATGTGAGTTTTTATTTGCTGAGCAAGTTGGTTGTAGAGGACCTGGTTCTTGGGCTGAAGCAGTCAACACTTCCTGCTACTTGATTAACAAGTTCATGGTCAGGTTCCTTCTCGAGAAGTCTCTTTATGAACTGCTCAATGGGAGAAAAGCCAAGTTGACTTACCCGAGAGCCTCTGGATGCAAAATGTTTTGTTCTCAACAATGGTGGCAAAAGGATCACAAAACAAAGATGATGAAGATGAAGAATTCACAAATGCTCCTGGTGAAGCTATAGATATTGCGAATGGAAAGACTGATTTGATGAGTCAAGTCAAGCAAAAGGATGAAGGAGATGCAGTAGAATCTCCAAATGGCACAGAGGAACCTGGTCCCTTTATCACCTCGACTTGAGCTGAACATAGGGTTGTTAATGCAGAATTAGGTGCTCCTCATGCAGAACAAAATAGTGGGAGTCATAATTCTGTTGATGTCAATGATAATTTACATATGGTAGAACCTGATCCTTCAAATTCTGAAGTTCAAGTATTCAACTAGAAGCAAAAGAGTTCACATCCCTTCAAAATGTAATCACATCCTTAGACTCTGGTATTTAACCTAGTTCTAAGCACTTATGAAACGGCACATTTTCTGGGGTCATACTTGATCTCATGAGGTACAAAGAAACAAACAGTGTGGCTCTTCCTACTGCTGAAGCTAAATACGTGGTTGCTGCTTCCTGTTGTGCTCAACTAGTACAGATCAAGCAACATCTTGAAGACTTTAGTGTATTTACAGCTTGAATCCGGTACAACACAGGAGGACAAAGCACATTGATATGCGACATCACTTTTTGAGGGATAATGTTGAAAAGGTCCTGATTTGTATGACGATCTAGAAGACGGAAACCAGCTAGTAGACATCTTCACCAAAGCGCTGAGCAGGGAACATTTTGAAAGAAATCGTCTGGAATTGGGGTTGATCAAGCTCAACTAAGGACCCGGTCCCTCGATGATTGGCTGTGTTAAGAAGGAAAGGTACAATGCTAAAAAGTGTTTTTCGGCGACATCTAACTCAAATCTATACTGTTACAAGTATACACATATGGCAGTTTCAGGACAAAAACAAGTAAGAGTGACATTGCACTTCTAGAAGTCTTTGCTCAGATTTTCGAAAACTGTCAAGGAACCTGGTTCCTGCAACTCAGGTTAGTGGTTTCTTCAGTACTTATATGCCTTTTTAAGCTACTGAAGTGTCATGTCATTAACTTATTCCCGCCTTTATCCTGCCTCTCTCTACATCTTTGAAGTCCAAAATATTAAACCTCTTCTGAACTGACCCATTGCCCCAAAAACCACTTTTCTATCTTACACCCAACCAAAGCCGATTCTTTTCTTCAAAACCAAAATCAACCTTGTCTCCAAAAAAAATCCTTCTTTCCAAATATGCCAGAAGTGAATCCAACTCTCTCACTTTCCAAAATCCTAACTCCATTGTAATCAAAACCCCAAGAAGTCTTTGGTAGATTTTGATGGAAGTTTAACTGAAAGGGAACAGAGTAGATCTAATATTCTAGAGCGTGAGGCTGAAATTGTTGTTGGATTTCTGGAAGACTTGAAGGATGGAGAAATCGGTAAATGTGTGAACTGAATGAGGGACTGGATACCTCAAGTAGGCTGATTGATGATGAAGTGGTGTGACTTGCTGATGTGGTGACTGTGGACGAGAGAATGAAGTGGAAAAATCTCCATTTGTGAGAAAGAATTTTTAAAAAAAAGGAAAAGGAAGTTGGCTGAGAAAGATGCAGCAGATGATAAGGGTGAACAGATTAAGAAGAAGAAGAGGGAGGCATGGAAGCTCTGGGAAAGAAAGGCTAGTGTGAGTGAGGAACCTGGTTCCTTACAGAAGTAAAAGGTTGAGTCATCAGGTTTGGAGGGGTAGAAGACTCTGAAGTGTTAAAAAGTGTTGTTAGGCAGAGTGTTGAATCTGATATTGTTGAAAAATGGAGGAACTTCTTGACATTATTGAGTTCCAAAAATAGAATCACCTCTTTGTTCCTCCAAGTCCAAATGTATATGAAGAAGAAGTAAAAACTTATATGTTTTATGTGACACCCTGATGCTATATGTGCATCGGATTGAGCTTTTCTTGATGAGAAGAAGCTTGGGGTGATTCTTGGTGATATGATTGATGGTTCAACCTACTCAGATAGGTTGAGAACCTGGTCCTCGTGGACCCTTGGCAGAATAGAATGCTAAGTTGAAGGGTGAGAATGAAAGATTGAGGAAACAGGTGGAGGAACTGAGAGAGAAGATGATCATTGATCAAAGGAGAGTGCATGAACGAATGGAAAAGCTCATCAAGGCCTTAGCCCATTACTTTTCCTCCTGCCCAGTGATTCATGTCTTTCATTCCTTCCAAATTCCCTTGAATTTTTTTTGATCCCTATATTTGATGACTTTGGTACTTGTTTAAATTGTCATATTCTGTATTGTTGAAACTATTGTGCTTTTGTTATAATTACTCTACACTGGGCAATCACTCTATTTTGTGCAATGACATTCACTTGTTGTTCTTGTTATTGTTTATGCTGTGTTGCCCAAGTGGCATGAGTTAATGTTGCTGAACTTCTTTTTGGCTGTGCTTCTTCTGTTATTCTTTTCGATGATGCCAAAAGGGGGAAGTTATAGAGGTGTCAACATGGTTATAGATGTGTCAACATGGGTGAGGAACAGAATCAAATTGATATGTTGCGTTGTGCATGAAAGATAGCTCTACTTCGCAGGGGGAACGTTGCTGATAATATGTTGATTATAGGTCTGATCCGCAGGGAAACATATGAGGAATCTGGTTCTCAAGGAGAATATTAATTTTGGGTTTGTCATCATCAAAAAGGGGGAAATTGATAAGTTATGGTATTTTGAGTTTTGATGATTTGCCAAACAGTCTTGAAGAACCAGTTGTGATCAGTTCCATTGGTTTGGTTCTTAGGAGGAATATGGCTGATTCGTAGGGGGCAATGTGGAGATCTGGTTCTTAGGGGGGATATCAATTCTAAGTATGTCATTATCAAAAATGGGAAAATTGATAGGTTATAAGTACTTTGGGCATAAGTACTTTACTTTATGTTTTGATGATCTAACAAACTTACCATCCAGAATCGGATAAGGAACCTGTTATATATTTACAAGACCTTGAGATCACAAAATTCCAGGTTGGGATCCAGCGTGGGATATAACTCAACTCTTAAGAGTGGAAGGAACAGCTGAGGGAACAGGTCCCTATCAGTTCCTGAGGAGACAGTATGAAGTCAACTCTCCAGTTGGAAAGTTGCTGCCTGCACACACTACTGTACAGGAATAGTGCAGCAGTTAACTTTCAGTGGATGGCTTTTTACCTACCTTGCTTACATCATTGTAAGTGATGTCACACATGTATAACTAGAATCCAGGAAGGTAAAACAACTTACTTCATGAGAGAACAGATAAAGGACCTGAAGCATGCCTGGTACAATCATTCAAGTTAATCGACTCAAGATAATCTGGGCAGTGTACCTTTAGATTTACAAGAACCAGATTACGGACCTGATACCTTGGTGTTCCCCTCATAGAAGTATGAGTCAACTATACAGCTGGAAAGCAACTGCAGAAAGTGACTGCCTGCAACCGTACACGCGATAGTGCAGCAGATAGCGCAGCAGTCACTTCCCATTGGGAAAAGGCATGTACTAACCAAGATTTGACATCACCGTTGTGAATTGACATCACCATGTTAATGTCTTTTGTAGTATAACAATCTGGTGCAAGGCACAAGATGCTCCAACACTTGGAAATCAGAAAAGAAAATGTCCTCTCAAGTGCTTGCCACAACCCCTCTCAAGAACAAAGTTGCTGCAACCTCAAGGACCGGATCCGAGATTGAGGATATCTTAAGTCCTTAGGTTTGTTGCGTCTTTGCTATTTGTTCTTCATTCGTAACTCCTACTTATCTTAGTTAGAAGTATTGTGTAGGAAACCTTTTGTAAATCATAAACCCTTGTGTTTGTGTCTTGGCTAGAGTTAGTCGAGTTGTGAAGCCTTTGTAATAGATTTATTACAAAGTGGCTTGTAATAGTGTTATTAAAAGTTAGAGTGATTAAAATCTTTGTAACTAGAGAGTGACAAAGTGGCTTCTGGTGAGAGTATCACAAGTTAGTTAAAGTCTTTGTAACTAGAGAGTGACAAAGTGGCTTGTGGTAAGAGTACCACAAGTTAGTTGAGTTGAATTCTTTGTAATGGAGTCAGTACAAAGTGGCTTGTATTAGGTGTTTACAAGTTAGTGAAGTTGAAAGCCTACAAGTGTAGGTCGTGGTTTTTGTCCCCTTGAGTTGGGATTTTTCCATGTAAAAATCCTCTATATTCTTTATTTGCTGCCGAGCTACTGTGGGAATAATTAGAGAACCTGATTCCCTATACTGGTTGGTTTTACAGTCTCTTGCTTACAGTGGGAACTGATA